ATTCTTTAGATATTGCTGATGTTTTTGTAAGTAAAGAATCTTTATCATTACTTTATTTATCTTTTTAAAGTACTGCATGAATTGCTTTTAAGCTGTTTTAAGATTGGCTGCAATCTTTACTTTATCATACTTTAATTTATCTTACTCAGAGTTACTGTAGAATTATTTTTTGTATTTATAACTGCGCAAAGTATAAGCTGAATATTTCTTGCTTTAAACAGTTGAACTTATAATACAAACCTTATCTTAAGTAAAATAAAAATCATATAGAGTATTGACAGAATGACTAGAATTCTTCATTCTATTAGCTAAATATTTATTATCAGTGTATTTATTATATTTCGGTATAATGATTTATCCTGAGAGAAAAAGAAACTGAAGGACCCAGAGACACTTATGGAGGGAATGTGCATCTTTATGTTTTTTAAGAATAAGAAACCTTGAAGGAGGGGAGGTAGTGTTACAGATCTCTGTTAGTTAAAGCTACTAATAAGGCGGACTTGTCAGGCAGAAGGCAACATCTGGACAGACAGCAACTCTTATTGAGTAAAATCCTGATCTGAGTAATCAACATCCGGGACAGCTATGCATCACGTGACTATGGATATATGAAATGGTATATGAACGGGTATATGGTATATAGTATACAATATATAGAAAGGTATATAACTTAGTATATAAAGAACGGATATATAAGGACACTCTTTCATGTACTTAGCCAGTTCTGTTCTTCGTGTTTAATAACACTGTCTTTAAGTAACCATATATTTAAAAAGCTTAGTGATAATACTTATCTATATTTACTTACAGATAACTGCGCGGCACTATTCAGCCTTACTTCTCTTCTCTTATTCAAGACCAGTCCCTCTTAGATAGACATCAGTCTGATACATCCTCGATTCAGTTCAAAGGTACGTATACCAGTGAAGCTAAGCAAACAAGAACAGGGAGAAGCGATCCTAGGGTTTGACAACTTTATAACTTGAATATATATTATTAAATTTATAATTTTATAATACTTGAGCCTCAGAATAGTAATATTTTAATTTACTAATATTATTTACTCATTGTCTAACCAGATAGATATCTTACTTTTAATAACTTATTAAAAGTATTTTACTGGGGGGATGACTTCCGGGATAAAGATATTAAAAATTTAATAATCTTGAATAAAGTATTTAATTAAGTTAGTCTTATATTTAGTAGGATTCTTGATAGACTGCAGGAGGTATTTATTAGTAAATTTTATAAAGAATAAGAGAATCTGTACTCTGCTAGTAATAATATTAATATTTTTGATTCTTATTATATTAAAAGTATTTTTATAAGAAAATATTATTTGGTTTAATTATTTCCTCTAACTCTGGGGGTGGACTCTCCAGAGTAATATTTAAAATAATTAGTTTAAAGTTATCTTTATTGTTTTTATTATCTTTATAATTTTATTTTTATAAAAAGTAATATTCCGGAAATACTTAATTTTATTTATTTCCAGTATTTAAATATAATAAATATAATTATTATCTTTATTAAATTTAATTGAATAGCTAACTGCAGCACAGAGTTCTATTTTTATTAAAATAATTCTATCTTCTTTAAGAATACAGAAATAAAAATAGTAGCTAAATATGTATAAAAAGTCTAGCAAGACTTCCAGATTAGATAACTTATAGAAAGACCTGTATTTATATATCAAAATCTTTTTAATATTAATATTAATAGATGTTAAGTGATTTATGATCTACACAGCTAATATAATAATAAAAGATTATAGATTACTAGAAAGGCTTAAGTTGATTATTATAATTCTAGTTATTTAATTAATTAAAGTCTTATATCTTTTTAAAAGACCGTTAGCTTCAGATATTTAAGGTAGAGACATAATAATATAAATCCTCTATTTTTTATAGATTGTTTAATCTTTAAAGTCATTAAACTCTCTATCTCTGTCAAGATATCACGCTGCTATATAGTAATTAACTATATTTTTATATTTAATATTTATTTTAATAAGCTTCTGCAAGATATTGCTTTTCTTTTTTAATAAAGTAATATAAATTAATTAGATAATATTATTAATCATAATCAAGTAATAATTATATTCTTTATAACTAGTTAAAGATATTTTTCTATATGTCTGTATACCAGAGTTCTGTAAGATTAATAATTTATAATATAAGATTATAGGATATTAATTACTCTATTTTCTCTAATTAATATAATTTATATTATATATAATTATAATATTTAACTTCAATCTAGTAAAATCGTGTAGTAATATTAGTTTATTAAAAACTAGTATGATTATATCAGTAATACAGGAGTAGGGGGTTAAGAACTGCTATCTTCATTTTATAATTAATAATCTTAATAGATAATATCTTTTTTATTACTTGTATGTAATTAATAATATTATTAATCTTTATTAATTTTATAAATATTAAAGTCTTTCTGAAGGCGCTGAACTGACAAGAATCTATATAATAATTCTAGCTAGTAATAAGTTTTAATATTTAACTTAGTAAAGACACTATTTATTTCTAAAAAAAACAGGATTATACTCTATAATAATAATCCTTATTAAGACCTTCTCTGAAATACTATATATATAGTACTTATAAAACTTAAGCTTATAAAAATTAGTTAGTAAATAGTAATCCAGAATAAGATACTAAGAGCTTTTAATATTATAGATTCAATATAGTAATTAGCTAGAGAGATCTTTTATTACTATATTATTAAAGTAGATAATTAAAATATTATTATCTGAATATATAAAGTCTAAAGCTATATAAACTGTAATAAATAGCTTTATTAATTATTTTATCAAAGTAATCTTCGCGGAGGTTATTAATTTTAATAATTTAATAGTATTCTTTAACTAGTAATACTAAATATTATAAATATAGTAAGTCTAGTCTTTAAAATAAAGATCAGGAATAAGATATTAATATTTTAAAATCTTATATTTTTTAATATAGTAAAATCTGTAATTATTATACAAAGTTTATAATAATTTTTTATATTTTTCAGATATTTCTCTACGCTCTGATTCTTTTATAGAAAGATTGTCTTTATTTAATCTCTCTTCTTAAATAGTCAGAAAGAGATTAACTTTATTCTTATAATAAATATTATAAAATTTCCACAGTCTTGTTTATCTTCTTTTTCTATAGTATCTCTACAGTAATTAGAGAAATTAATTTTAATTAATAATTTTATAATATTATTAGCAAAGCAGAGTTTAATACTGGCTGTCTAATTAAATAAGTTAGACTCTACTTTCTTCAGCAGATTTAATAAAGCATAGTATAATTATATACTAATTTTAAATTACTGAATTAAAGAATATACATTCCTAAAGTTATTAATAAATTAAAAAATAATTAAATACTCTAATCTTAATATTCTAGTAAATTTAAACCAGGCAGTCTGGATCATAGTATAGCTATAATTAAGGATAAAATATTTGATTATTTTATAAATATTATTAGTATAGTTCTGTAAATTACTTAATTTTAAGAATTACTTTAATATATTCTTACTTAATTAAATAATTAATTATAATTATAAATTAACTAATACTGCGTACTAGATATTATAATTTATATATATAATTAAAGATTTATCTAATTTCTTATTTATTAAGTCTTGCAATTTAATATTTTTTAATATTATCTTAATTATAAAATCTTATATATTAAGAATAATATATTTTTTAGTTTATCTGAGATTTTAGTAAGATTCTTTAACAGTTTTATCAGGATTTAATTTATTTAAGTTAAAAGATTTATATTTACTATATTATTCTTATTAATATATAAAAATGATATAATTCTTTCTCTACTTTTTATTATAGATTTTTTAAAGCTCTTTTAACTCAAATTAATTTCTATTTAATAATCAGTATAGAGTGGTTAATTATAGATTATAAATATTAGTTAAGATTAGGATTTTTAATATTATAGAAGTTTAGTATTTCTGCGGTCGTGACTCTATAAAAATATTATAAGGATTTTTAGTAACTTAAAATTCTACAGAATTATTTTAAATAATATTTAATAATGAATATAGCAGTGCTTCACGGCAAAGAACCGGGCTTATAATCTATTAAGATATGAAGCTAAAGAAAATAAGTGATATTAGTATAATTAACTAGAAGACTTCTGCCTACGCGGGATGAAAAGGACAATAACACAGTGGCCAATGTGACGAGGCACGTGACGCGCTCGCCTACTGACCAACCGGCTGTCCGGACAGTAACTGAGCTTGAAGCGGAATATCAGCGATTTCAATTCTCTTCTTGAATGCATGCCTTCACTCTCAGGCAACCAACCTGGTTCCATATAACTTCTGGTATCTGAAGCTATTATACTTTATATCTCGAGGATTTTTTCATTCCGTAGTACATAGAAAGAATTATAGACAGAACTATACCTAATCAACTAGGCCTTCTGAAACTTAGAGATGAAACCAGAACCGAGTGGTATACCAACCCACCCAGTAACGAGTACGGGGTAAATCAGGAATAAAAACACATACTACTAGCAACAATCAGAATAAGAATACGAACCCCACTCAACAACCTTCCTCGCAAATCGCATGTCTATCCCCATTAAGAAAAAGGGAGAGAGATCGTACACTTGGCCGTCGGCACCCGAGTCTGGAGTAGATAGATGATCCTATTTTCGGCGGGATTCCGATGAGTGGAGACCGGGGGCTTATCGTCCCGATTCGGAAAAGGGTACGAGATATACGAGAGGTTATTTGCAGATCGTTGAATTCTGCGAGATGGAATATTGGTGGTGGTGATGGTGGTGGTGGCGATGAGGAGGGGGGCTTTGATATTTAAATGGGGGTTCTGTTGTTCTTTTGGTGTCGCTGATTATACTCTCGTTGATATCGATCTCTCATTGATTACCTATCCCTATCCCTATACCCTATACCCTATCCCTATACCTATACCTACCTTCGTTGAATACACAACTCTCTTTCACAATATGTCGGGATCGGATGCGACTGGGGGCTGGATAGCCTACCAATATAACCCGTCGATGCCGGCGGCTGTCATTTTCGCGGCGTTTTTCATGATCGGTACCTTTTTGCACACGTTCCGTATGATTCAGACTCGGACGTGGTTTTTGATTCCCCTGGTTATCGGAGGATACTGTATGTGATTGTGCTCCATTTACGTTTGAGGAACAAGGGCTGACTGGTGCAGTCGAGGCGGTTGGATACATCGGACGCGCCATGTCGGCATCTCAAACCCCAGACTGGACTCTCGGCCCGTACATCATGCAGAGCACCCTGTTGCTGGTCGCCCCGGCCCTCTTCGCCGCGAGTATATACATGGAGTTGGGGAGAATCATTTCCCTCGTCAAGGCGGAGAAGCTGGCTATCATCCGGGTCAACTGGATGACCAAGATCTTTGTCGCTGGGGATGTGCTCAGTTTTCTGATGCAGGCATCAGGTGAGTTGCGGTGCTCTGATATTGAAGTCGATGGACGGTGGCTGACGTGGATACTAGGAGCGGGCATCATGGTCAATGGATCCCCAACTATGGGCCAGAACCTCATTGTCGGCGGTTTATTCGTGCAGATCGCCTTCTTCGGCTTCTTCGTCGTGAGCGCTCTGGTCTTCCAAATCCGGATCGCAAGTCGCCCAACTGACGAGGCGCGGAATGATCTGATCCCCTGGAGAAAGCACATGTTCGCCCTGTACAGCTCGAGTGTTCTGATCCTCATCCGATCGGTCTTTCGAGTGGTCGAGTACCTGGAGGGCTCGGATGGGTATCTCCTGCAGCACGAGGTGTTCATCTACTTGTTTGATGGACTGCTGATGTTGTCGGTGTTGGTGATTTTCGTGGTGATCCATCCGAGTGAAGTGAAACGCCTTCTCGGGCGCGCGGGGGCTAGCACGTTGAAGGGAGTAGAGATGTCCATGTCTGTATAGATGGATTTGTTCATTCCGGGCGAGTTTGGCCCGTCAGGTTTAGTGTAATGAGTCCATGTCTTTATTATTAAACCAACTGGTTCAGTCAGTATCAACCGGATGGGTTGCTCCGAAAATCTCCAGCATAGGCCGCTCCAGCAGCGGCCTCCACTCATCATCCAAAACCTCCCATAATGCCCTCGCGACTCTTCTGCCCCGATCCTCGATGTACCATACATCCCTCGAGTGATGGAAGATGATGCAGTGGTATGCCAAAACAACCAAGGCCATCGGTTTGCGTTCTCGCAGGAAATCCATAAACCCGGGCTTCTGTCGGATCGCCCATCGACAGGCAGCCGAGGCCGAGGCCAGACCACCACGCGCCACAGCAAACATATCGGCCAGCAGCTCGATCGCATGCTGGTAAACGGCTGTGTCGTGGGCAGGATCTTGAGCACCGCAGGCATTGTTTGCCTCATGTAGTCGTCCTAAAGCGGATTGTGCGTCATCCAGGTGACTTTCATCGAGTTCCCCCACCTGCAAGACAACCCCCCATTCACTGCTTTTGATAACTGGGACTGCTTCCGACAGAACCTGTTGGACACCCCGTGCCAGTGTAAATATTTGAACCAAATCATCCACAATCGTCCACGGATCACTGGACTCGGGTGAATGAGGCAGGCCGAAAGTGTAATAAACAACGACGCTGGCAAAGGCGAACATGGCCTTGGAATTGGATGCGTTGATATCGCTCAATAACTCGCGGAATAGAGCGAGGGCTTGAGTTTGATGCGCCACCGCGGTACTGAGGTAGGTTGGACGCTGCCGGACATCCGGGCGTGTTCGCGCGATATGGAGGGCGGAAAGCGCCAATAAGCCATGCATCAGGAACGGATGGGCGAGGGCTTCCTCGGGAGCACGAGCGCGCCAGATGTGGTCTGTATTCTCGCCGCGGGAGACATTTTTGTAGGTGGAGTTGCACCAGTGCATCATCAGCTCCAGGTCGGTGATGTTCAGGCTGGGGACTGCCTGTGGGGCGGCGAATTCATCGCCCCATCTCCCCAGGAAGCTGAACGAGTTGATCGTCGTGGCCGTCGTGGCCGTCGTGGGCTCCGACTGCAGGGAGTTGGACTTTTTGGTCCGTTGACGAGGTTGGGACTCCTCGTTGGTCCATAGCAGTGACGTGTTAGAATCGTACTCGCAGCTTGACATGCGTTTGGAGCAGTTGGAGCACGAGGGACGTTGTTCATCACACTGGAAAGGTCAGGAACAAACCAATAAGGGTGGGTGATGAGAGATGGATGCTATTCACCTTCACTCGCCTTCGCTTGCATTGCAAGCAGCCGTGGCGCGACTTGCGATGGGATCGTCGGAATGCCATTAAATGCGATGCCGTGGCTGCTGCCTCTGGCCATGCTAGCGTCTTCCGTCCGACTGAAAACCCCCTCGAAATGAGGCAGAAGCATTTCAATCTTTTGGAGCCAAGATCGCTCGGATAGGCGTCTTACGTCATCAACATGGCTTTGGCCAAAATCAGAATGATCAGAATAATACATAGTACGTAGAGATAATTATAATGCTCGACTTTTGACCATAGCTCAACTGGTATCATACAAACATATCACAGGAAGCTCAATCTGGTATCTTTCGCAAATTCATCCTCAGGCGGTGGCGGCAGAGGATTCTCTGCGTCGTCGGGCCTTCTCATATAACCCCAGCACCGTGGTAAGTGCCATCAGGTCAAATTCCCGTCCGTAGTTCACATACATCTGAAGTTGACCGGTCTCGTTGAATGACCAAACAGGGCTGGTAAACACTGCGATGACCCTGCCCGTCTGTTCCTCAACCAATTTGAAGTTGCGATTACTGAGCATGCTTGTCAGGCTGTCGTCCTGAACGCCAACAGAGTGCGTTCGTGTCCAGAGGAACGACTGCCATTCATATCCCTGAGCAGACTGCATGGTCATCTGCCAGCGATACTTGGCGTGCCGGTGGTCTTGCGCAAGCAGGTCCTCGTAACTGATGAGATTGACAGTGCTAGGATCCCCCAAGCCGACCTTTAAATGTCTTGAGAGATGCAGAAACTTGCAAACGGCCACAATCGGGCCAGTGTTGTCAGACCCGGCATGGACCGTGAGGTCCGGCTTGTTGGGCCGGAGGGGAGAGTTTTCCACCCGGTAGAGCTGCGCGCCCGCGGAGGTGGCCACGTTGTAGTGGTGCCGGAACGTTGTGTTAGAGATCTGGTAGATGTGGGAAGCACTTGGTTCCCATGAGGAGTTCGCAGTGGGATTGGGAGAGAAAGAAGATTGTTGACAAGTAGTAGCCATGGTGAAGTCAGACTAGATAGATACCAACCGGGGGGGTGGGAGGGTTTGGACGCCATCCCCAGGTCCTTATATGTTGTTGTCTACACGCGTCCGGGGGTAGAGACTATGTACTAGTCGTGCAAGGCTCATTTCCTGCGGAGCATTTCGATCCGAGGGACCCTGAAAAAGGGTCTTTAGTGTTGTGTAGGATCGTCGGGCGGTGCCTCCAAGCCTCACTGCCATCCGTGGATGGATGGATGGATTGACATCATCTGACATGAGCACTAAAACAGTCACGTGGCTGTATATCAGCTGACTGCACCTGACCTCATGTGACCGCATGTAACCACATCTGACCAGCGGCTCACCGCCTAAGGCCGGCGCGTCTCTTTCGGTTCAATAATGGAGGCAATCTAGAAACACCGCGGCTTCGGAGCTCGTCGACTCTTCCTCGCTTTGCCCGGCTGCCTGCCTGTCACTTTGTTTTGGCTCCATGGTCCTCAACCATTGAATCGATTGCGCATCTCCATTACCCTCCCCTCCTTACTCTACCCGTCGACCCCGAACCGGGGATTTCCTTCCTCGCTCTCCACTTTATTTTTCGCATCCAGACCCCCATTGCTCCTCAACACTCACTCCCCTCCAATCGCACAATGTCTTTCAAATTCTCCCTCGAGTCGAGCCCGCCGTCGACTCCGGGCCATTCCCGCAGTCTGTTCAGCAATCTATCAGAAACCCCTGCGGGTGATCCGCCCTCCGCATCCAAGTCTTTTACTCCGCAAGGCCATCCGTCCAGCAGCGTCTTCGGGAGCTCCCAGATGAGTTCCGGATCTCTCTTCACCAAATCCGGGAACATCAATCCCAATGACAGCATCTTCGGTTCCTCCATCGCTTCCGCCGATTTTGCCCTTCCCCGAGGGAAGAAGACCACCCAAACCAAGTCCTTTGCAGCATCGCAATCTCTGTTCAGTATCACCAATGGGAGCCGATTCGCCGAGTCAACTAGCTTTGGGAAATCTAATCGCTTCGCGGACTCGCAAATGGATGAAGATGCCGATCAAGATGCGGAAGGAGAGGAGGATGTGTTGCCGGAGGAAGAAGTAGAAGAGACAGGCGACACAATGGACATGGGGATTTCACAAAAGGATCCTGCGCCGCGCTTTAGCTTCCTGGACTCTCAGCTTGGTGATTCGATTGCCGCGCCTCCCGCCACTCTCGGTCAACGAAAATCGATCTACTCAAACCCAACTAACGCGAAGCGGCCAAAGCTCGACGAGCAGTGGGCGAACAAGTCACCTTTGCGCAAAGGGAAACTGTCGCCTAAGAAAGACTCCGCTATGCCATCGATCGTGCGGAATTTTGCCTCACGATCGCGCCTGGCTGCAGTGAAAGAGTCAAGCGAATTCATCATGAGCACGGAGGACGAAATCTGTCGCATGTACGACGAAGTGAAGCAGTCCGAACTGAACGGCGCGGACTTTGAGACCGCTCTTTCGGACGCTTGCGACAGGCTGGTCACTGTGTGGAAGACATCTACAAACCCGAACGGCTTGGAGCAGAGTACAGGGGCTGGCATTGGTCCGGGAGACCATGCCTCGAGCGTTGCGAAAGCAACTTTCTTAGCTTCCCTACTTCTTCAGCTCCACCATCCTCCTCGGTTGGCAGCTAAGCCAAGTCTTCTGAGTCCCCTGGGATTTCCAGCACGCAACCTGTTACTGGCCGCCCCTCGGACGAACTCCCCTACGCCTTTGCCCAAGCTCCTCCTTGACTGGCTGGATGCCAACCATATGCCTCTGACAGCGGAGCTGCAAGCTTTGAGAGAGGTCGAGCCCAATCCTTCGGCATCGTCAAACTTCTGGGAAATCATCAATGCCGCTGTACTACGGGGCCATCTCTCCGAGGCCGCGGAACTTCTGCGGTCGGCCGATTTCAACTACGCGAGGTCGGCCCTAGAGGATGGAATACCGCAGTCCGGTTACCGTGGCGCGCAGCTGCAGAACATCCAGCGGTGCGTCAACCGGGCCCTTCAAATTCTCGAGTCATGTCCGAGCGTGCAGCACGGTGACTGGGACATTCGAGGCTCCGATTGGGCACTGTATAGGAAACGAGTGCTTGCCGCTGTGTCGGATCTGGAGGAATTTGCTGAAGGCAACGAGCAGCCTTCCCCCGAGCCTCCCGCCGCCGAGAACCGCTTCCAGGCAGTTAACTTTGGACTGAAGGCCACTCCTGCTGCCCCTATGTTCTCTTTTGCTCAGAATGCGCGCATGGCAGAGAGCAAAGTTCCTTGGACGATCTACCAGAACCTTCGATCCCTGTATCGCATCATCCTCGGCGACACGAGCGTGGTCATGAACCACGCGCAGGACTGGATTGAAGCCACTATTGGGATGACCGTGTGGTGGGATGGTGAGGACGACGAGGAGGGTTCTAATAATGACTTCGGCGCCAGCACCAACCTCCTGTTCTCCCGACTCTCCAAACCCCAAGCTTCACCTGCCAATGCAAGACATGCCTATCTCCGCCGCCTCGATCTGGCCTTCAGCCATGCAACCAATGCGGAAACCGACGACGCTGGTTTCCGGATCAACTCGTTGAGCAGCCTTGAAGTCGGGCTGGCTTCCGTATTCGAGGGTAATGTAGAAGGTGTGTTGGAATTGCTGCAGACGTGGTCGCTGTGTGTAGCGTCCGCCGTCGTCGAGGTCGCGGCCATTGGCGGCTGGCTAGACCCCGGCGCCGGTGCCAAATCGCTGCCAGGCCTGAGCGAGGATGACTTGATGGTCCTTTCTTATGGACAGGATGGCAATGCCCCCTCACGTCGTGTCCACAAGAACGATGTGATCAGCGCTTATGCATCGGGGCTGTCCCAACGCGCCACCGTGGAGTGTGAATCGGGCGCGCGAGAAGGATGGGAGGTCGCCATCGAGGTTCTGAGCCGCTTGGACGATCGCGAGAAGATGCAGAAGAGTGTTGCAGAACTGCTGGATAAGCTTCCCCTCAACACTTCCGAGCAGGTGGACAAAGTGGTTCTGCTGTGCTCCGAACTTGACCTGGACATTGAGGGCAGGAAGGTTTCCGAGGTAAGTCACTTGATGGCTCTTCTCTCGCCCATCGCTCGTCGCTAATCCCACCAGCGCTTTGGTGACGACACGGTGGCCAAGTCCCAAGACTATGGCCTGGCCCTTCTCTGCTATGCTCGCGCCCACAACCGACGCAAGGTCAAGTCGATTGTCGACCTGCTCATCTCCTACAGTCTGGTTCAGTCCCGCGCCTATCCCGAATCCACCGACTTGGACGAGCAGCTTGAAGCTCTGATCCGGGAACCCAAGCACTGCTTGTCAGCAGTTGCCGTCACCGATGAAGAGGCCGCTTCCATCCTCCAGTACTACTTCAGCGGATATGCGACCCTGCGTCGCTTCTACGAGACGCGTGACGAGGCCGTCAGTCTCCAGGAGGGACAGCGACCGCGGTTCAAGCCTTTAGCCAGACGGCGCGCAGCAGCCCAGGCCCTGGTGGCGGTCATTGGCAGCGCCGCCGACAGCATCTACGGTGGATTGTACGACCCGGATCGTGACGCCGTGATCCAAGTCGATGGCCTGTTGACTTTGCTCGGCGAAGCACTGCCCTTCATCGATCGTGAGTGGCCCCCCCCCTCCCCCCCCAATCTCTCCTGAAGAATTCGCCCATCTTCTAACGCGAACCAGAACCCACTCCGCTCCTCTCCGTCTCCCAACAATTCACCATCCTCTCCGCCATCGAAGATCTCCAAACCGTGACGCCACGCGTCTACGCGCAGTGCGAGGAGTGCTTCCGCTCCACACTCATCCAGTACCACTCGTCCAAGCGCGCCCACACCTCCGACTCCTTCGTCCTCCCGCCCTCCCCGCGCGCCATGCTCAAGAAGTCCGTCTCCGCGCTCACAGCATCCAGCACCTTCTCCCTAATCGGCAGCGACATGATCGAGTCCGCCCGCACCCGCTCCGGCTCCGGCTCCGGTTCCGTCGGCAGCTCAGGCGTCCTCGTCCCTCGCTCCGACGCCGAAGCCGCCACCACCGCACGCGGCTGGGACTGGCGTGCCGGCCTGCCTGAGGACGCCGCAGGCGAGGACATCCTGCGCATCCTCCGCCTCGGTCTCGCCAAGGGCCTCAGCCACGGTGCTCTCGGCTCCATCTAAATTAGTTCCCTCGGATAAACGAAGAGAAAAAGCTCGGTGTTGTTGTATTTTATATCATCTACATCCTTATATTCTTTGATCTGTGTCCAATCTCTCTCTCTCTCTCTCTCTCTCTCTCTCATCAACACCGATGGCACCAGGGAGGCTATCTGGTTCGTCTTGATATACTGTATGCATAATATAGCTAGCTAGCTTAGTAGTAGGGTTGGGTGACTGCAAGGGGTGGTGCATGGAGGAGTTGACAGATGGAGCAATCTTACTCTCAAGACAAGACTTTCAAATCAACTGTGTTTTTTTTTCCGTCCACACACAGTAAGTAGCAGTATGTATCTAGGTACGTCGTACTGGATGTTTCAATACAGGCGTTGCTCGGTATTCTTTCTTTTCTTACCCTTTATTTCTTCTGCTAGGCCGGATGGGAGTATGAACAGGCAGATACCGTTATCATAGTAAGTAACGCCCCGGAAAGAAAAATATGACTCTAATAGTCTAACATCGAATTTCCCCCGCCTAGCGGATCAGCATGCATGCCATGCATACATATCGAACGAACGAACATAGAGTGTAGAGGATTAAGTAACGAAGGTAGGTAGGCCAGCTAGATAATGCGTAGATAGACAGTCGATAGAACCGCACATACGTATCCCGGATACGATCCCCCTCATTCCACCCCGATCCTCCTCTATTACCATATTCCACCAACGGCAGACTCTCCACCCAGCCAATCATCGCGTGTTTCTCGTCTCGTCGGAACAGGGCATCTGCAACGCAACGCAACGCAACGCAACGCTATGCTAAAAAGGCTGACTGGACACGCGCACACAAAATCGGAAAGAAAACGGCGACGAGAGCTCAGCCCACAGCGTTGACAATAAAAGACATATATATCTAGCAAGAGATTTGGCGAACCGGCCAAGCCAAAAATCGAATCGAACTGAGTATGTATCGAACGGGAAGAAATTCGATGGACGGTTGAGGCAGACGTCCGGCGACTGCTGCCTCATTGAACCGGGGGTGTTTTTTCCCCCGTGGTTGTAGTAGTTTAACCCTTGATGCTGGAGTATCCTGAATCCGGCAGGGTCGGGTCTCGAGCGCTATTTCCGGTGCATCGCAAGGAGTGTCGGGTACAGGTGTAGCCGACCAGGACGATTTTCTCCTGCACCACGTGGCCGCGCTGGCCGTATGCTTCACACGGGTCTACCGCGTGCTGAAAGTAGAGGCATCTGCACGCCGAGAATCGTTCCACCAGCTGGTAGCACATGGTGACGGTGGTCGAACGATGGGTGGGATTATAGATTGTGGTTTAGAAAGGACAAGAACCGAAAAGAGAAACGTCCCGCGTGGTATGGAGGCACGAATGATGGAGTTGGTCAAGGAATGACTGGAGGGTAGAAAAGCACGGTGGTGAGTGCGATGGAGGTGGGGAGTGGACCGCGGATGGAATCGATTACAAGAACACCGACCATTCAGGCGACCCAGGACCATGATAGATGACAAGTTCCAAGGGACAACAAGACTAATGATCTAGAATTGGCGGACTTGCCCGACTTGCTCAATCTAAGGCGCTGTGATGCTGGATGCGACTGCCGAGATTGTTGCAAGGCATCCATGAACCAATACAGACCTTAATTCTGTGCCCGGGGACGATCCAAAATGACATGGTCCATCACGAACAGGACTGGCGATAAAGAGGAGAAGGAGTGAGGAGGGAGGGGAGAGGAGGGGAGAGAGCGCAGAGGGACCACCAAGGAAATCACGAAGACAATCAAGGAAGAGGGGAGAAGGGGGGAAAAAGAAAAAAAGGGAAAAAGAGGGAAATGAGGAGGACCCATCCTGCCGGGCAAACGTCAACCGATGGCAGATTGGCCTATTCGGAGTGCGCAATACTCGTAGGGCAAACCGGAGTCGATCAGTGGGGGACGCTTGTCGGGCTGAAGGCTGAGTAGTGCAGAACTAGGCCACGCTTCCCCCCCTTTGGAGTCCAATGCCCATGACAGCTAATGCCGACGCATCTTCTGCTTCTTCTGACTGATTCCCGGGTCCCCTTACCCACCGGTAGGGAACCGTTGAGGCGTGGACAGTCCCTGGCCCCCGGGGAGGTACATATACTGCAGCTGCAGCAGCAGACAGTCAGGCGGGCATTATTGGTGAGCTGGGCCTCGTGTGGCCGCGAGTTTCAGCTGGGTGAGGGCCAGCTAGGTATAGAGTTGTCCCTGTGGAAATTACGTCTTGGTGCCGTGGGCCGCTGGAGACCGCTGGAGACCGCTGGACTTGCTGGGGAGCGTCGGTGCGGTTCTCCGGGGGGGACCTTGGGAGCCGTAAGGCTGCAGTGAGAGCCGGCCGGTGATTTGAGGAAACCCCGTCGCCAGGAATTAGTCCATCGTAGCGCGGATGAAGGGGGTTAGTCGTCCGAGGCCGGCGTGTGAATGGAGGAAGGCTGAGGCTGAGAGGAGGAGGGGGTCGGAGGAGCCGGAAAAATGAACCAGTCGAGGGTGTCTGTGATGGCCCCTGACACCATAGGGCTGAAACTGGGATGAGTTGGACAAACGCCCGGACGGAGGAGCAGCGAGTCAACAGCTGCGGTGGGTGAAAGAAGTGGGAACTCTGGGAAGTCTGGGAAGCCTTCACCAAAGTCCAAACCTTCGCAACTTTCCCGAAATAGCTCCCCGTGACTGCCCCGATCCGGTAGGGCTCGCCCGAGCCCCACGCGGCAGCCTGAGTCACGCATCTCCACTCCGCCAATCAGCGCTCTCCTCATCCGGAGGCCCGCCAGGCATCCACGGTTGCCTCTCTCGGAAGGTCGGAGCTCGGAATGCCGGGAAAACAATTTACTCAGTGCTCCTCTGTATTATTATGTAGATTGTAGATATTAATAACTTGAACCTGACGGAACTCTGAACAACTCCTTAGCGAGGGCCATTCTAATGCTTACCGAAGATTGGTATCGAGTAGCATTGCGTCGTGTCGCATGCGGGGGCCTAAATACTACATAGTACATATCTATCTACATAGGATCCCGCGGGCCCCGTGCATCGCATTTATTAGTAGTAGTAGTAGTAGTAGTAGTAGTAGTAATATTATTATTATCTTCAGCCTTGCGGCGAGGAATCTCACCAAACTCAATTGCTAATGGTGGATTATTGCGAGATGGATCCAAACAACAGGCCCAGTCCCCACCGATATATACACGCACCGGACAACTCCCGAATCTACACCACCATCCTCTCCAGAAAGTCAAACCCTTGTCGCTGCAACTCCCACGTCCTCGACCCAACCTTCATCCCCATCGCAAACGTATGGTCCTCCCCAGGCACCTCAACCATTCCACACTCTACCCCCTTCTCCCGTAACACCCGCCATAACTCCCGACTTACCTCGATCGTCACTTTCGTGTCCTGATCCCCATGTACAATAAACGTCGGCGGGAAGCCCTCCCCAGCCTGCACGACCGGGTCAATCTCCTTCACATCGCGGCCAGGAAAGCAGGCTTGAAGAACCGTTCCATTGGCCACTTGCGTCAGGGCAAATGCATCCCGTGGCCGTGAGAAATTGGGTCCCTTAGCCGTGCCGACTTCTGTTTGGCCTTCGAGGGAAATAGAACTGTCCGTGGGGACGGGAAACTCGTCGTAGACTTTGTTGAGGAACGAGGAGTCCAGCGAAGGAAGGGTGCGCGCGACGTCGGGGAGGGGTTGGGTCCAAAAGGGGTGGGTGAAGTGGACGGCGCCGTAGAAGTCCAGGATGGCGGATACCGGACGGGGGACGTCATAGCCCTGGGGGTAAGGTTGAGATTAGTATCGAGCTCTAGTTGACGCAGGGGAGGGGCAGTGTATGTATCTATGTACCCACCAAAGATAACGCCAAAGTTCCCCCTGACGACGTTCCAAATGCCATAATGCGGTCCTTATCAACTTGGTATTGTGTTCCGTGGAGATGCTGCGTGGAATCACTGGCGAGAAAAGCATCCAAGTGACCGTCATATATCCAGGCGAGCAGATCCCGACAGTCAGTGATGGGACCCTCGAGGATGTTCACCTGCGGGCAAAGTCGATGGTTTGGGACCACGACAATCCAGTTGCGGGCCAGACAGTCGTCTATCTGGGGCATTGAGACCATGCGGGAGTGGCCTAGCATGAAGACCCCGCCGTGAATGTTAATTACTGAGGGTTGGGGTTGAGTTAGCTGGGATTCCACGGCAAGATTCAAGCTGGGAATGAGACTAACAAACGGGGTATTTCTTGGCTGCGCCATGGGCAGATTCCGGTAGTGGAGGGAGGTAGATGTCGGTGGTGATGGTACTGCCATTGGCTTCCTTGTACTGAACGGTAAGGGGGGCGGGGGGCATGGTGTCTGGCTTGATTGTGTTGGTTTACTCCCCCACGAAGCCTGGGAATAAGTAGGCGCAGGGCTCGGAATATCCGATGGCGGGGGAGGGACTTGCCGAGTGGCTCCCCCGCGCTTTGTCCCGTGGTCTGCTGCCGATGTGTCTCTAGTGCCAAAACATCACGGAAATGTAGAAATGTAAAGATCATCACTCATTATTCATATCCTATATGTGAACAACGTAGCTATCATGACCAGGACATCCTTCATTTCATTCATCCTCCGCCTGGCTATACCGTCAGTGCCCCAATATAGAGCGGATCTGGTCCCTTTCCTCTCTTTTCCCTACATAGATCCCCGTACCCACCCCCTCCTTTCCTTTCCATTTTGCTCTCCTCCACATAGAACATCCGCCTCGTCCATGGCAGACCGCCATGGCCCGGATGCCTCGGCCTGTTTTTGGTTTTTTTTTTTTTTTTTTTTTTTTTTTCCTAGCTTTAATGCAGACAGGCGTCTGTGGTAGACGCTGCAGGTAACTGCTAAAGGAGTGACGGCCCCCTGATAGAGGGCGGGCATCCATTGCCCGGCATGTTCGGCCTTTCAGCCAGGGAAGCGACTCCCATAAGGGGAAGATTGTGTAAAGCAATGCAAAAAGCACCAACGCTTGTCATGGTTTACCTCCGCACCACGATGCCTTGGCGACGGACGGCGCTGCGGGCACGGCGGTACTCTTCATCACTGTCGGACTCCGAGCAGCTGGCCTCGGATGACTCGGTAACATAGCCGCATCGGCTGCCACCACAGTCAAGCTTGACCCGATCACCCTTGCGAGTGATTCCGTAACGCTCACAATGGCAGATCGGTGTGGGCGGGTCACTCATCGACGACAGCGACGACGGAGATGTGCTGCCGGAAGAGCGAGAGGACAGGGACGAGCCAACGGAGCTGGGCGGGCTGTTGGAGAGCGAGTACTCATCGGACAGCCGGGAATCGGCAAACCGCATGGTAAGGTCCTCCATAGTGGGAGCAAAGTCCGTCTCCCGGATTTGACGGGAGGCATATGGCTTGGAAGGCTTGGGGTGATGGATCTTGGACGGAGATGGAGCGCGGCCCTTGACAAAGTCTTCCGAGCCCCGGCGGTGCTTTGGGGCTGGCTGAGAGGACTTCTTGCCACCGGGAACATCGAGGATGTTCAATTTGCGGCCGGTGGTGGGCTCAACGGTGTACTCAACAGCGGGATCATGAGAGACGTGGTAACCGTCCATGATATACTATATCAAGTCAGCGCTTGCCATTCGATCGACGGAGCAGTTCACGTACGTAGTACCAGTAGCGACCACCCAGCTTCAGCATGGAGGTCTGGAAGCGGAACTTGCCAACCCATGCGCCTGGCTTGCCGTCATCCCGAGAAAGAGGGATCTGACGGGAGTAGTTGTCCCAGGAGCCGACCAGGTGGACGGTCTTGACATTGGAGGAGGTGCGAAGAGAGAACTTGAGCTGAACAGCAGACATGTTGAGAGATTGACCAGGTTATACTAGGAATTAGATAATATGCAGAAGCCAGATGCAATGGTAGATCGTGTCAATGGTGGATTAGTCGTCGTTATAAAGGCGGAGCAGAAGGACTACCAGAGTCGATTCAGTCCAGCCTTGTGTTGTTGGAAATGTTGGTTGGATGGCTGTGCAAATATAACAACGAGGCTTTGCTTGACAGGATCCAGTCCTTGACACGCAACCAGAGATTAGATAGAAGTTGGATATAGACAAAAAATCGACAAGGCCGGCAAGTCGTCTGAACTGGATGACGGGATCACGAATGTCGACCGGCGACAAGAAATGAAGCGTCAAAGGAGTTGTATGGTTTAGAAGTATCCGAATGAGATCAAAGCAAAGCAACAGGGGATCACAGAGCACAGCTCGTGTGAAGAAATTGAGGGGTTTTGATGATATAGAAGGGGATTATTAAGATATAAAGTGAAGCGAAGAAACAACAACAAACCGATGCAACCAGTGCACGGGGGGGATACTTCCAAACCACAGGCAGTACAGACAAGACAAGCTCGCTGAAGAAAGAAAGAAAGGAAAAAAAAAGGGAAGAAGGCAGAAGACGCCCTGGCGGCTACGCCAGGCTTTTAAGAGGCGAGGGGGAGTTGGTCGGAGGTGGAGGAGGGGGGAAAGGCCGGCATTGGCATTGCGGGCTGCAGCTGTGTGATGGGAACATTCTGACCTGCTTGCATTTTGTCACCCGCCTGGCTATTCTGGGAAATGGGTGGAGAGCGCTGCAGCTGCTCGTTGCCAGTCAAATCCCCGCGCCGTCCTCCCCATCCCGGCCGGCGGGTAATTGGCCTGTGCCATTGGCCTCTCGCCCACCCAGCCTGGGCCCCGGACAACCAACCACCCCGGCCGCCCACCATCCATGCCCGGGATGTTGCTTTCCTTGCCGCCCTCCATGAGTCCCTCCTCCGAGGCTCGCCTATCAATAGAATCCCAGGCCCCAATCGTAGCGGACTAGCGGGGAGACGGCCTGTCACCGACTTCTCGATTCTGCAGGACCGTGGGGTTTAAGGTTCATGGGATTAAAGAGGGGTGGAGGGGGAGGTCTCAAGGCACTCGAGAGGCCGGGAGAAAGACCACTACGGCACCGCATGCGGTATTCGTCGAAATTAGACCCTGTCATGGAATCCTGGACGGCTTACGTGCAGAATGCACTGGGAAACCCCTCACTAGATCCAAATTCCATTCCCTAGGGACAAATCATAAGCCAAGCATATCGCTGCTCACCAGCCATCCCTCCAAGCATGGGCAGCAAAAGAGAAAAACAACATAATATGGAAGCTCAAAGCAAAAATCATAAACCTCTGGTCCTCTGTACGCCGGGAAATGCCGAATCGTTCTGGTCTTCGGTTGAGATCACAGGTTTTGGGGGGGTGTGAGAATTATTAGGAAAAAAAAGGAAAAGAAAGAGGGAGAAGAGGAGAAAAAGCAGAAATACCCGAAGGACGGAAGAGATAACACAGAAGCGAATAATCTGATGTACATGGATGACAATCCTTCCTTCCCCTCACCGCACGGACACGCCAGACCGGTTGGTAAACATGCGAGCGGCAATGTTCATCGAGGCCAGCTCTTGGAACAGAAGCTTGGCTGCATACGGGATATGGACCTGGGAGATTCGGTGCTTGTTGTTACATAGTCGACACTCGAAGAGTCCCTTCTTGAGTTTCCTGTTCATATCATCGTTAGCCCAAGCACAATCGTCAGCAGATCAAGGCCATCATCCACTTACGCGACAGGGGTCATCAAGCCACAGTCGTCGCAAATGTGCACTCGGAAGGGATCCGACACATCGAACAACCGCTCCTTCAGGAAGGCACTGGCGCCGTGCGCAATCATACAATCGCGTTCCATCTCTCCGAATCGGAGACCACCGTCACGAGCACGACCCTCCACGGGCTGTCGGGTCAAGATCTGGGTCGGTCCACGTGCACGGGCGTGGATCTTGTCGTCGACCATGTGGCGCAGACGTTGGTAGTAGGTCGGTCCCAGGAACACCTGCGCAACCAGCTTCCGTCCAGTGTGGCCGTTGTACATCACCTCAAACCCACGAGACTGGTAACCGTGCTCCCGGAGAAGACGGGAGATCGAGTCGACTGTGACGTCGGTGAAAGGCGTTGCGTCTCCCTCGAATCCACGCAGCGATGACACTTTACTGAGCTGACACTCGATCAAGTGCGCAATTGTCATACGAGAGGGAATGGCGTGAGGGTTGATAATCAAGTCAGGGCACACACCCTCACGCGTAAAAGGCATATCTTCCTGCCGGTAGGTGATACCGATGGTACCCTTCTGTCCGTGACGCGAGGCGAACTTGTCTCCAATCTGAGGAATCTTGGTCGTCCTCATGCGCACCTTCACGAACTTCAGATCATCGTTGCTGGTGGACACCAACACTTGATCCACAATACCGTTTTCAGTACTTCTGAGGGGAGTCGACACATCCAGCTTGGTGTGGGCCTTGGTACGTTGGCCGAGTTCCTCCGCCTCGGGTGCCAGTGGTGCCGTCTTACCAATGATGATATCCTCACCGGAGACACGGACACCAGGTGCAATGATACCATCTTCATCGAGCTTGTCGTAGGTACCCTTGCGCATACCGATCGTATCCGATCTCATAGGCTTCTCGAAGCGTTCGACAACCGTCAATCCGACCATCTTCTCGCTGTCCGTGTATGTGCGGTAGAAAAGACTGCGGAAAAGACCACGGTCAATGCTGCTCTGGTTCATAATGACGGAATCTTCCTGGTTGTAACCAGAATAGGTAGCAATGGCAACGATGGCGTTCTGTCCAGCGGGCAGCTCTCGGAATCGCAAGAATTCCATGGACCGTGTCGTGGCCAGCGGCTTCTGCGGGTAATAGAGAATGTTCGCCATCGTTTCCATGCGCTGGTCGAAGTTCGTCAAGAACACGCCCATAGCTTGTTTACCCATGGCAGACTGATAGGTGTTACGGGGAGATTGGTTGTGGTCGGGGAAAGGAATGATACTGGCACAGACACCCAGAATCATACTGGGGTGAATCTCGCAGTGAGTCCATGTGTGTGCCTTTTGGCTCAGAATAGAGCGAACACGTTTGTTGGGGTCGTGAAGCTCTTCTTCAGGGAGCGCATAACCAGCCTGCAGCTGCTTCGAGATCTCCAAGTCTTCTGGCGTCATCACAATCATAATCGTCTCTTCCTCTTCGGCGTCGACGTATTCAACAACACCAGATTTTACCAAACCGTCCCAACCAAAATAGCGCTCCCTGCGGTCTTCTGGGTCTAGATCCGGAGGCAGGTCTTTGTCCTGCTCCAGTTTGCGGATATGCTCTTTGTTGAGCACCAGAGAGCCACAGTTTTCGCTCTTCGGATCATTGTCGACAACATAAAGTGGTCGACAGACACGCCCAGCGTCGGTGAAAATCTTGAACTCTCGTTCACGGATATCTCGAATCAAACTGACTTCATGCGAGATCATGTTTCGTCGACGGAGAGACGACATCGTGTTGACAAGATGAGCTGGGTCCCTGTGAATACCGACCCAGACACCATTGACAAACACCTTTGTCGCATTAGGAGTGACCTGCGGCTCGAATTCTTCCAGAACCTCCATGTTGCGCTGGATCATGAAATCAATGATAGGCTCACTAGGTGTACCAACAGTGATATAGCACATGAGCGCCAAGTTCTTGACCAGTCCACAAGCTTGACCCTCAGGAGTCTCTGCTGGACAGACCAGACCCCAATGGGTGTTGTGAAGCTGTCGAGGTTTGGCGATTTTACCGTCTCGACCAATGGGCGTATTGGTACGACGCAAGTGAGACAAGGTAGAGGCGTAGGTGTAACGACTGAGCACCTGAGACACACCAGCCTTAGCGCTGGCGGCCTTCTTCTGCTCCCCCCAGTTACCCGTAGCAAGAGCGTACTTCAATCCTCCTGTCAGGGTGCTGGCCTTGATACCGATGTTCAAGTAGATTTCCCGGTTCGTCTCCACGCATCTCTGCACGTACCGCTGAAGATCACGGGTGACACGGGTGAACAGAACTCGGAAGAGGTTCGCAAGAAGAGGACCAGCCAAGTCGAGACGTTTCTTGCCGAAGTGGTCACGATCATCGACATCCCGACGGCCCAAAGCACACTGCAGCAGTCTGTGCACCATGTAACCCAGGAAAAATGCTTTTCGGGTCTCGCTACCTTCGCTCTGGGAAATATGGGGAAGGAATTCCTTCTGCATGATTTCGCGTGCGTATCTGACACGGCGCTCGTGGTTCATACTAGACTGAGAAGATCCACGCTTGGCAATGAAATCCAGCGCCACTTCACGATCCTGGATAACGAAACCCTCCTCAATACAGGGCTTCAGCATCTCCAGCATCGGCGTGTCATTCCGGTCGTAGCAGATATGGTTCAGAATATCTTCATCAGACACCACACCGAGGGCTCTGAAAACAACGACAATTGGAATATCGGTCTTCACGTAAGGCAATGTCGACCGGATCGTAGGTCCAAATCCACCCTTGGCACTGTCACCCTTCGCAAACAGCTTCAGGGACAACTGAGATAAAAGTCTTGAGCCCTTCTCGACGGCACTCCGAATTTCCGCAACATACGGTGTGGGACTGGGCGGCGCCTTCTTGAAAACCTGGACTGTGTTTCCAGCACTGCGCTCTTGGGCGATCAAGACTTTTTCACTTCCGTTGATGATGAAATAACCGCCAGAGTCGTAAGGACATTCGTTCCAGTTGTAAAGAGCCTGTTCGCTCAAGTCCTTCAGGATACAGTACTTAGATTTGAGCATGATAGGCATCTTTCCAATGAAAACAGTCTCCTCCTTTGCCTGATCGGCAGGCAACTCTTTCTGCTCCCACTGAAGGTAAGTCCCGTGAGCTTTTCTGTCCTCATTCGACTCAACTATATCTTCATCATCACGATCGGCGACCAGACGTTCCCGACCTTCCATAATCTTCTTCGTAACACCGAGGTAGAGAGGACTGGCGTATGTAAGATTACGCAAGCGAGCTTCCTGCGGCAACATGATAGTGGTGGCACCATCACCTTCAGTCACGGACGGTCGAGAGAGCATGACCGTTCCAAACTTCAGCTCGTATCGGCGGACAACCACGGGATCGACTTCATCTTCGGAAGGAGGCAAAGTCTGATCGAGAGTCACTTGGCCTTGTTCCTCCACCAGCTCCTGCATTGTCGACGAAATAAATTCATCGAAAGAGTCCAGCTGTTGTGACACTAGACCCTTGGTGTCGAAGAAAGACGAGATGACGGTCCAGCAATCCTCCGAGGTGATGCCCTCGTCCATGTCATCGTAGTACTCATCCTCGTACGCATCTTCGTAGTCGGCCATCTTGACGGATATGGATCGCAAACGCAATGAAAAACGACAGTCGATATATCAGTGAGCGCAAAGGGCGCGACGCGCTCGGCGGAAAAGATGCCACTCGAGGTCGTTGGGCAGCTGAAGTAATGGGATGTACCGATGCAGATTGTCCTATATCAGACAAGTGAGGCCAGTAAGCCGGGAGCCTCAGATGGATGAAAGTTTGAGAGAGCCCAGGCCACCGGTGATGCTGGTGAAGGGAGCAGCTGGGGTGCTTCGACTGTCTCCGGGCGCTGATGGATCTTGCCTTGGGACAGAGCCGCCACTAGCCTCGACCGCCCTGCTGGCGCTAAGCTGTAGGCTAATCCCGATCGGGTCGATCACGTGCACAATGCAACTCCTTTGTTCTGTCCTGGCTGTACTTCCACTTCAATTGACTGTCAACTGATTGTCGTTATTGAATACGAGGGCATCGATTGACTACTCATCGTGCTACATACTATACTACAGAAACTGTAAAAGCGTATTCAACATCTCCTTGCTGTCCTTCTCGCTTGGCTCATCCTCAGAGAGCCCCTCCACTTGCTCTGTTCGTCTCATCAGCATTGAACTCGGAAAGCTAGCTGCAAGACGAATAGGGACATGCAGCTTACCTTGTAGTGTATTTCGAACAAGCGACAGGTCTTCATCGCGGTCAGACAAAAGAGCAACGATCTTCTGTTTCGCCCCATCGTCTTCAGCCACCAACCAGGCCAGAATAACATCAACAAGCTGCAGACGGCTGTTAGCACATCCGGCGGAGACAGGGGCATACTGGGATAGCAAACCTGTAAGGAGAATAGACCGGCATCAAGCCGTCGTGAAAGCCATTCGCTCTCCATGATCTCTTGTTCCTCTTCCGTGAAACTTTTCCGTTCTTTCTCAATAGTCTGCTCGATCGGCGATAGTCTTGAAGCACACTCCCGCCGCAGCTTGATGAGCTTTTCAATCTTCTCGTAGTCCTTCTCCATGAACTTCGCCAGAGTACGGATCCGTGGTGCCGAACCTCCCGGAAGTAGACGCAACAGGGAAGCAAAAATTCCCAGTAGATGCTCGGTCGTCTGATTGTCTTGCTATAGGAGTTTAGTCACAGTCCGTAACGTCACCACGGGAAATATGCGTACCTTTTTCTTGAACATTCCAAATACTGTACTTAAGCATGCTGCCTCGACGAAGCGCTCACATGCAGGAGCGCCTGCTATTCCGCCCAGAACATAGTCCAGGAGTCGCAGAGCCCGTTGCTTGCTGAATTTGCCTTCTTTCAACATGATCTGCGCAAGTTCGACACCTTCGGCTTCTAAGAATTTTTGTTTCCCGAAATCCTCATTCACGAGACAGTTTAAGCAGCCGAACAAGTTCTCAACATATTCCTCTTCATCGGAATCTTTCTCGGGGTCACGCTTGCGGTACGCACTGAGCAATTGAAGGAGAACTTCGATGCCGTCTTGGCTAACAAACTTCTCCCTGTTCTTGGGCGTGGACTGTAGCAAAATTGCCAGGATCTCGGCTGAATATTGCTGGTTTTGGCTCACTGGTCTTTCTTTCTTCTGTATACGAGAGATAAGCCATAGTAGGACGTTGGGGTCGTGCCCTATCCTCTCAGCGACGGATGATTGCGAAGCAAGGTTTTCCAAGACATCTAAAGTGCAATTAGCATATTTATAGCGTACATAATGGGGAATGCCATACTTAGTGCGTAGTACACGCCTGCTCTGTCGACTTCGGATGCTTCGTCGAGTCGCGTCAGATTCTGAGCCAAAAGCTCGATAAGATCGGCATCCAACTACACCAGTAAGTGCCTGAACATACAGAACAGAAGACTAACATACCATTGCGTTTACCAGGCTATCCCATTGATCCTGATCAGCCTCGACGTCCTCATCCGTTAGCTCACCAATGATCTGAATCGCATCAATTGCGATATCAGCATTCTCGTGCGACAGCAGCGACATAAGCGAGCCTACACAGCCCAGCTTTGCGAATTCGCTATATAATTCGGAGTGTTCGGACAGAATCGAGAGGCTCTTGATCTCAGTATCCAGATCTGCCTCCGAGGTCATGAATCTGGGAACATCAGCATAATGCGCATGGCCCGAACCTTGCTTATCATTTGCTCACTTCTGAGGATCATTTTCAAACTTCCCGCGGAGTTCGGCGTTCTTGGAAATCTTCTTTTCGAAGTTGAGGGCGAACCGTCGCAGCCAAGCAACATCGAATTTCTCGGGCTATAGCTCGATCAGCGAACGGTCAAAAGAACCTGCAATATGTAAAAGCTACTAACTGCAGCATCTGCCTCCTCATTCTGATCAATATACTGCATAGCCTGGGCTGTTTGGCGTTCCATGCCGCCGCCAAAGAAGCGTCCTTCTTCGTCATCGGGGATATCCTCGGCGTCGAAGTCGGGAGGTAGTTCAGGCCCAGCGTAACCATCGTCCTCCTCGCCCTCATCCTGTACCATGGGCGTCTTTCCTTTTGATTTCACGTCATCTTCCGCATCGAGCTTAGCCGCCTTATAGAGCTCATCTTCATCGCGAATCAGTAGTTTGCCGTTGAAAGGGACGTGGGAAGTTGGTGAACATACTCGGATCTCTCGCGGAATCGAACTTGCGCTTGGCGCTTGCTGCCGAAGAGAGTTTCTAAAATGTCAGCATCAGTCGAACAAGTCATCTCATAGGTGGCTTACCTTAAAAAGCTCATCTATGCTCGTCATGGTTGCGGCTTGCGCTGCTTGGGATGCAAGCCGGAGGAGGTCCTTCAAACACAACCACCAACACGAGAGTTGACAAGACCCAACTAAGCGATCAGATGCGATTGCGCAGGAAAAGATTGCGCCTGTAAATTGATTGCTCCAGCTCGCGTTCTCCGGATTCCTCTCCGATCAACTGGTCGCGCGACAGCTCCGAAGAAGATACGGCAGCCGCGATAAGCTAAAGGCGCAGCCGCCAAGCATCGAAAGATTTCTCGGAGTTCGTCGTCATTCCGGCCTTCACCCTGCCATCAAACATCCGACACTCTTGCCGTCTCAGGACCTCTTCTTGTCAAGGACATCATCTTTTCTGCCTATACCACATTTTGCCAAAATGGTTCCCAGACAGCGCGTCGTCTCTGGCCGTCCCCAGAAGAGCTTCTTCACCACCGCATACGAGGAAGTCACTCACCCCGAGAACGCTACCATTGTGAGAAGCATTCTAATCTTCGGCGTAAGTACTATAATCTCCGGGGGGATTGTTCCAAGTAATTCTGTTTGAGGAGTATTCTAATGTGTTCTTTTTCTACAGGCCGGCGTCGCTTTCCTCCACAGCAGCCTCAGCGAGCTCCTTCTGCCCCCGTAAGTTGAGACGCGGTTCCCTCTGTCGCTATTGGAGAGGAGTCTTCGCAAAATGCAAGCAATTACTGACGGCAGAAGTATGTAAACCGATTTCCCACGCGTCCGCCTGTCGCTGTGATATGAAAATGTCGGCCTGGTCTGGAAGTTCTACCGATATTTATCACGATGCACGGACAAATTTCTCCCTACTTTACTTATGAATCCGATTCGATTCTAATGAATACGTGTATTATACTGTGTGCTTGATGGGCATATATGGGTTTCAACGTTGTGTGGCTAGGCTTGTCGTCCGGTCCATGAAGGATCAACATTATATGTGGCGTTGGAATAGACCTGTTCTCCAAAAGACATACGGACCTTGCTTCATCGTTGGTTTGAAGGGGGGAGAGAATGAACGTGTAGTTCCTGTAGCCCGTAGTTCAGGCCGAGCTGATGGCAACGCTTCATTAGTAAATGATATTTACAGCAGTGTGGAGGATAGTCCAGAGAGTCTAGAGATGTACCTTGTCAAGTGCAGCACTAATTCAAGGTAGATCCGCCCCAACCTTTTGCCTGAGGCATCGAGGCCACCTGGACGGCCGCCACGCCGGGAGTCTGAATAGTGTCATCTTCCGCAATTCCGCTCAGCACCGCTCCACTCCCGACCACCAATTGATCCGTCGAATCAGCGAATAACCTCGCTGCCCACGCAGTGATTATTTAAGCGGTCGCATCTTCGATATCAAATTGGCGGGGAAGCCCGCAAAGGCCCCCACCTCCGGCCGCCTCCCGAATACCGCCTTCTTTAGTGCCGGGGACCAATGGTCCCTGGCTGTCCACTACTACTACTACTACTACTACTACTACTCCTACTACTTTCTATCAACCAGCCCCATACACACGCGGCCTGCATATGCACCTGCTGGAACCGAAACCATCTCGCTCTGAATGTGATCTCCCATCCCCGCTGCAAATGCCGTCGGCTTTGCCTCTCCTTCCAGTATGTTGGCCGCCAAACGCAAGCCGCCCAGCGTGGACTTGAATGATGATAGACCTGTGGCAAAGAGGAGTAACAGCTTGAGTCACAATGCTCATGCACCCTGGTTACAAGACTCTAAAACGTCTCGGACATGGCGGACTTTAGGCGATCGTGGGGTACGGTCTTCGCTGCCACTCGAAAACATGGTGTCGACCGTCCGCGATTTGATCGACCCGGACTTCGACCCTCTTATTGCCATTCTCGACGACGAACCTCGCTTCTTAAAGCCTCTCCCGTCTCGGATCCCACCGGAAGACTTGGAGTTTCTGCGTTTCCGTGGGGCTTTGTCGATACCAGAGAGTGGCCTGCGAAATGAACTATTGCGGTGTTATATCAAATGGGTGCATAGCTTCATGCCAGTGCTAAATTTACAAGAATTTCTTCGATGTGTCGCCGAAAACGACCCCAAAAGCAATATCAGTCTTCTACTTTTTCAAGCAGTGATGTTTGTGGCGACGGCTTTCGTCGATCTACAGCATCTGCAGGCCGCTGGGTATGCAACTCGGAAAAGTGCTCGCAGTGCGTTCTTTACTCGATTAAGAGTATGTCCGATCCGGTCTCATGGTCCATGTGTGTAGCTAACCCTCCAAACTAGCTCCTCTACTCACTTGACTGTGAAGACGATCGCATCGTCGTTCTGCAGACTCTGCTGCTGATGACATATTGGTCTGACCACCAGAACCACCCACAAAGAGACATTTGGGACTGGATTGGTGTCTGCAATATACATGCACACTCAATAGGATTAAATAGAGACCCTTCGTCGGCCAATATGGATCCGAGGATAAAACGACTGCGAGCCCGTATCTGGTGGAGTCTGTACTCACGAGACCGCCTCATTGCGATGGGACTCAGACACCCGACCCAGGTGAACGAAGGCACTAGTAATGTTCCCATGTTGAGACTGGACGACTTTGATTTCGAACCCTACCACCATAATGTTATTGAAATGTTTCGTTGTCGTCAGCTGGAGGATATTTCTCACCAAAAGCGCCTGGCAACCATGTTTATCGAGAAAGCCAAATTATGCCAGTGTATCGGCCGGGTATTGTTCGCTCAATATACCCCATCGCAGTGTCAGTTTGGAGTGACCACTCGAACAACCATCAGCCTAGTCCCTAGACAGGCTTCGGAATCGGAGTTGGCGCGGTGCAGCCAGCGATTGGAGTCGTGGTTGAGCGCCCTGCCGAAGGACGCACAGTTCATCCCTGCGTCAAGGACGAACTTCCACGACGGGGAGGACGTTCTCCTCCTCCATGGTGCTATGGTAAGAATGCTTTACCACGCCACTACAAGCACACTGCATCGCCCCTGGGCTTTTGCAGCCAATAAGGATCAGTCGAAATCACGCCGGGATCTGATCCAAACTGCACAATCAAAGATGCACGATGCTGCTGTTGGTATCACACACATCATCCAAGGTCTGAATCAGCTCAACCTCACTCGATTCCTCCCTCAATCTGGAGTGACCGTCATCATCCCAGCAGCTGTGGCCCACCTGACCGATTCGTTATCCGGCAATCCTGCAACTCGAGAAACCAGCATCTACAACTTCCAGCGGTGCGTTCAGGTGCTGCAGGGCCTGAAAGACATCTACCCTGCAGCGGACATGGAGGTTGCCAACATCGAAGCTGCGGTCAAGCTACAGTCCGACAGCACCAACACCTTCCTCCGGATCATGCAGTATGCCAACGCTTCCGGCACGATGACCCAGCTGCACTCCCACGAACAACCGCGAAAGCAAAGCGTCATATCAAACCCCCACACTATAACCTCAACAGACGACCGGGGCTCCAACCAGTGGACTCCTCCCCAAGACGACCACGAACCAACCATCAATCTCAAACAACCTACCCTAAACCAACCAGTCCCGCCACACGACCAACTCCGACCAAGAGAACCAGCACCACCAGCAACCCTCCACCCACATTCAACCACAACCACAACCCCAATAGTACCAGTAACAGTACCATCAACCCCCTATCCAAACAAACCGAATCCACCCCTCCAGACGACTTTGACGATCCCATCGCCAACTTCCTCAACGACACCAACCCTCCCATCTCACCCCGAGACACCCGATCCCAATCCAACCCCAACAACACCACCGCCTTCAACCCAACTGACCCCTTCCCGTTCAACCTCGACTTCGACCTCGACACCTTTGCAGCCGACTTCCCTCCCCAGAATTTCAATCCCGACCCATCCGCAGACCTCGACATCGACTGGGCCAGTGAGCTTCTTCGATGGACCGGACCAGCACCGGAGGATGCATTGACTAATAACAAGGACTTGTTTTCCCCGTTTCCGAATCATGTTCATGGCAGTACGCCGGGACAGGGGTCGAGCAGTCATATGACGGGGGACATTACGGGCGATTTAGATCGAGATTTGGGGTTTATCCCGTCTGATGATGACATGTTTTAGGTGACGATAGAAGTCTGGCTCGGGGATGATCTTCATGTACATAGGATATATATTTTCAGCATAGGCGTTTCTAAAGGAGTGGGATGGGGCACTCTGTAGATACTAGTGACTTTGCAATCATAAGATTTCATCAATTTGAATCTAGCACTTGATTCCCGTCTATTCTAGGTATATAACATCGTGCTGAAAGTGAATAACATCGTGTCGCCCTATATCCCACCCGTAGATCATTGGAGACATAACTGCGCCTAACTAAATTGCACTACTTGCGAGCCCAGCGATTGCTTTCGTCGCCCTCTTCCCATTGGTTCTCGACGTATCCAAGCTTCTTCTTGACGCTTTGGACGGTCTCCTTGTCTCCCGTGTTCTTGCCCATGTTGTCGCTCAGCTTCACGGCCGGACGGCCATTGGCAGTGGCGATCTTGATGACGATGTTGAGCGGCTTGGATTTTTCACCATTGGATTTGTTCGTGAAGTCATCTAGGGGGTGATTAGTCCGGAATGTTCAAAACATGAACTGAGAGGCAAGGTGGAGACGTACTAGTGAAGAAGGTTCCCACCCCAAAGACAGGATTGAACCCGGCTTCCTCGGCAATCACCTTGTACTCGAGACAATGCTCAATGTCCAATGAGTCCGAGAAAACAATAGTCTTCGGATCTTTGACCCCCTCTCGGTCGTAGAAATCCCGCACCATCTTCACAAAGTACGTGGGATCGCCCGAGTCTTGGCGAACACCAGCGTAGACCTGGGCGTATGTCTTGGTGGAATGCTCGCCTTGAGCATCATGAAGAGGGGCCGCAATCGGGGGCTTGGTCTCGGCCTCGCTCTGTACTGTCGATGAGGTCATCGTGCTGGGTCCTGAGGCGGTGGTAGCGACTGCACCAACACCTGCACTGGTGAATGCAGGAATAGGTTTCCGGAATGCATCGAGGAAAGCAGGCGTGCCGAAGGTGTCGGTCAGTGCAATACCCAAAACCTATCACATGTTAGTTACCGGAAGTGGAGATCCTGGGTCGTGCGAACATACTCCTTCGCCAAAACAGCCAAGCCAGTACCGCAAGGCTATCTCGTTCGCATTCTCGTAATCATCCGTGATGGCGGCGATGGTCATATACCATTCATGGGCCACAGTGCCGACAGGTGCAACCCCATACTTCATGGCAAAGTGGACATTACTCGAGCCAGTGAATTGGCCCTTCCAGCCCTGCTTCTTCCCTTCTTCGGCAGCCTGGTATAACCCTTTCATAACCAAGTCGTGTGTATGATAGTCGCGCCGTCTTCGCGATCCAAACTCGGAGAAAATGCAGCCATGCTCCAACAGGGCGCAACCCTTCCGGAATGCCTTGTCCTCCTGATTGCTGTAGTCCCAGTCCTTATCGCTGAACATGAAGTAGGCCTGACTCGTCAGGGCCAGCAGCGGGATCTCGTACAAGATTGTCTCGACCCACAAACCCTTGATAACATAGTCCACACTGCCCATATCATCATCACTGCCAGTATCCTGCTCCGGGGTGAAGTGGATCTCAATCTGTTCGGATGGGTTGAGCTTGAAGCTGGTCAAGTAGTTCAGGTAGGCGTGATTGAAGTACGGGCAGCGCTGCTTCAAGAAATCGATTTCCTCATTCGTGATTCGGATATTCGCAAGCGCTAAGCAAGGAACTGTCAGCAAGGTCCAGAACTCCAATACACAATGAAATCACCTACCATCCATCTGCGCTAGAAGCCATTTGTAAGCACCCCGCGTTAACTTCATATGCGGGGTACGATTCGTGAAACCATATGTAACATCTGCATGGGAGGAGAGGTCAGCCTGTGCTCGGAGAGAGAAGGATATGACTCAAGCTCTTACAAACATCCGGGAAGTACTTGAGGACGGCGCATTGCATCGTCAACTTATACAAGTCGGTATCTAGCAGAGAGAAAATACCCTCCGGGAGCGGAGCGGCATCAGTTTGGGCCATGATGAGGTAGTTCTGACCGGACTTTGAGGGGGAAGGGGAAAGCAAGGGGAAGTGCAAGAGGGAATTGAGGAGAACAAGAGAGAGGACAAGATAAGTGACCGCCAGGCAGAAGCACTACTGCTAAGTACTACTCGGAGGAAAGTACTCAGAAGAGAAATCTCCAGCTCGTCCAGGCGCGGGGAATCGCCGGGCTGCGTGACACCGTTTGCACTGTTTGCACGGTCAGGTTTCGTCATCAGCTTCAGTCCATCCACGTCATGTTGAGATTTGAATAGGATGGAATGAATCTGAGGGGATCTGGAATGTGTGAAAGAGGTTGCGGAGATGCTCCTTCGTACTATATTATGCGCTGGGCTGGTTGGACGCGCATTCATTCATCGGCAAGCATTCTGCGCCGTACCCCTCCTCTGGGTCTAGACTAGCATCTGACATGCATCCTCCCATGCATTCGTGCAGTCATGCATTCGGTATCTACCTAGTAGATAGATCAACTATCTTGAAAGTGGACTCAATCACTCCGCAGATCTGTCAAGCGATATAGATACTACTCCCATCCCATGATAAGTTTAATAGCGGGAAAGTTATAACCTGCTACGGAGTTGCAATCTGCACGTGCTATAGTAGTCACCGCCGGAGCCGTAAGGCAGAGAGAGATACCCCGCCTGTTTGACGACTGTGGATAGAAGACGATCGATGACTCCAGGCTAGATAGATGTCTCGCGTTCCAGAAAGACCCAGCAACTAGTAGTACTTAGTAGACGCAAGTCCAGACAAAGCATTGACGTTCAGGACGCCTCTTCTCTTTTCAGGTTTGACAGTGTCAATCACAAGCATGGTGTGGTGTGGCTGGCTTGTCTGTGGCTGAGATCTTTCGGAAGCGGAACAATCTGGATCCGGCAATCCCGTCGCTCCCTTTGGCGCCCCGTCCTTATCCCCGACGAATGTTTCCAGCGCCATCATTTTGAACGTGTACATACATAGCCTACCCATCGATTTTCATCCGCTACGACCTCGCCGGGATACACTCCATCGTGATTTGACCGTCCGTTTCGCACATTCCCCGTACACGCGCATCCGATCGCGGTCCGAAGCCCCTCGATAGCGGCATCATCTCGAGACCCGACCGTAACGGGAACTACATACAACCAGTGACCACACAAGATGTCGCAGGGTCAGGATGACCCCGCGGCGGTTCTGGAACTATTCGTTCATGATGTGGCAAACCTTCCCGCTGAGATTAACCACCTGATGGAAGAAATCCAGGCCAAGGATAAGATCATCCAGGAATGCCGCACGACAATCAACTCCCGCGACACCAGTCTCCAGAAGTTCATCAAACTAAACGGCAGCTTAACACCCAACCCGAAGGAGGAACAGTACGGAAAGGCCATATTACAAAACCTCGACAAGTCGCAACAGTTACAGGATGAAAAGATCCAGCTGAGTGAGAAAGCGTGTGTGTTGCTGGACCGACACATCAGAAAATTGGATATCGCCATCCATAAACTCCAGAGTAACGGCATGCTCTCGGACGATCCTCCTTTCCCTTCCCTCTTCAACAACAAAGATCAGTATCGCGATCCGCCAAAGATCTTCTTCCCTGATTCCACCGTCGAAAATTCCTCCTTCTCCTCCGCTCTCAATGGCTCCTCCGGGAATGCCAATGTCATATTAGGCGCCACTCAGAGACTGAATACACTGGGCCGGAATATCGCCGCTGTCGGCTTGAACTCTCCCAATGCTGTACGAAGCTCTGCCCCAGCAACACCCTCCGGTACAATCCATTTCCAACGACAACAAAGAGAGTTATCGGCCGGCGCAGTGGAAACCAAACGGCGGCGTCTCAATAACTCAATAGGGACGCTCCCCGCGGCATCCTCGAACCTCCGACAATCCTCTCTCGGCCCTGGCACCCCTAAAGCCGGTACCCCGGCTTCTAGTCGTGCGGGCAGTGCTGGACCGCGCTCGTCGGCCTCAACCAAGAAAGCCCTAACGAAGAAGGTTGCGCCGCATCAGCAGCTCAAGAAGATTAAAGCATCCGGGCTCAATGGGAAGCACACCAAGCGGTCATCAAGCGCAAGCGGCCGTCTTAAGCTCGGTGGGACAAAGAAGTCCCCGTCTGCCCTTGGAGGAGACGAAGACGAGGACGACTCTATGCTCAGCAGCGCCGATATTTCCGACTCGGAGAACGCTGATGAGAGCAGACGAGATGACGATATGGATGATGAGGAAGAAGACGAAGGCAACGAAGATACCAAGGTGTACTGCACGTGTCGCAGCGTCAGCCATGGAGACATGGTTGCATGTGACAACGAAGACTGCGAATTTGAATGGTTCCATTGGAAGTGCGTGGGCTTGACCCGAGAACCAGTTGGGAAATGGTACTGCCCTCAATGTTCTGCTAAATTGCAAGCTTAGTTATATAGTTATACCCCCTTCTTTTCTGTATTATAACGACCACCTTCTTATGACCCTCCAATTCCAAACACATATCTAGCGATAGAAGCAGGTAGTAGAAAAATCCTTAATGTTTCCTTCATTGATAAGCCACCAGCCCATCCATAGATATACACTACACACAAGTCTACAAAATGTCATATTATTTTGAGACATTTCGTCAGCATCCCAGCACATTGCCCTTGCTACCCTTTTCCCTTCCCTTCCTTTTTTATTTTCCATAAATAAAAGCCATGATTTTTTTTCGGTTGCCCACATTGAGAAAAGAAGACCGGTATCCTCGGTCGATCCCAATATCAGACAAGAACGCCATCGCTATGCAAACAAACATCATCGGGCGCGAGCTGCGCTAAGTGTGTACAGAAATTGTTGGTATGTGTTGAAACGAGAAGCCAGATATAGAAGCGTATAGATCAGAATCCCAGGGCCTTTTCGAGCCAAGGGTCGAAATATTCGCAGCTTTCCGGGCTGACGGCTCCACCGGGAGCGCAGAGCTTGAAAACCGGACAGTGCCCGCAGGGTGCTTCCGTCATGCCGTTCTTCACTAGCCTGTCGTCGATGCCGGCGTCGTCGCCTCGAGGCTTGCGCGCTTGCTGTGATTTCACTTCTTCGGGATTCTTGACGGATCGGTAGACCTCGCCATTGTTCAATGCGACGAGCTTGTTGTCGTAGCAGAGCATTTCGAGAAGTTGGGTGATGCTTTCCTCGCCAAGTCGGACGGGGGTAATACCACTCTCATTGACGGCGCCGGTCAACATGGGTACGGTGGGATAGCCCTGATACCCGGCCGGGAATGGGAGGTACTCCTTGGGGGCGCCCTCTTGTTTGACGGCCATGCCTCCATCCGCGGTCTTGATGCGCTTGTTTCGAGGGCCGTCTGACGAGGGGACCTCGTACCAGCTCTTCCGGCTCACAGTGTACTCAATGAAGCCGGCGACGCTGTTGATGAAGTTCTCGTCCAGGACTCCGTCGGTAAACCAGGCTCCACCAGTCACGTCTTCACTCGGGGCCAGGTTCGCCAGCATGTACATCTTCCGGCTGGGGTATTTGACATTGTGAACGCTCTTGATGTAGCTTTTCCCCTCTAACGATTTCAGGCAGCGGTCAAGGATGGATTTGTGGAGGTTGGTTCGGTTGCCGATTGCACGAACCCAGATACCGGAACGTCCTGTCGAGTGAATGACATTGTATACCAAACTTTCATCGGGGCTCAGGTTCTGAAGTCTAACGAAGCAGTGTTAGTGGGGGAGTCCTGCGCTAAACGGTGGATGAAGTCCCATCCTACTTTTCAGCATCCTCGCGCGAGATGATCTTCCAAGCCAACCGGTCGTTTTTGCCCTGGAGAAGTCGGAATAACTTTTGGTCGACGAGGGATTGGGTGCATTGCAGGAGAAGGGCCAAGTCATTCTTGGGGACGAGGTTCAAGCCCAGGAGATCTTGCTGGTAGAATAAATGATCGGAAGGGAACTGGTTGACACAAGCATCGTAAAGGCGAGCGGCCAGTTCAGTGACTGAGCCGCCTGACGGCCCCGCGGAGGCCATTTTGGCGACGTTGTAGAGGAGTCGTTAACTGATACTATAACCGGACTGGCTTGGAAAGGGGCATGATCAAAATCTCATCGCAGGTCGGACTGTTACTTCTGAAGCCAGGACGAAGCAATCCCGGGGGGTTGGACAGGGAGAAACCGGCGCAAAGAGCAGGATGGCGGAGGGAATTGAACTGACGCCGGGCCAAAAAGAAGATGTTTTTGGCGGCTTTTCTTTCTCTTTGGGTTAGCGGGGACCGCTCTGGCCGGAAAGGCTTAGCGCCGGTTCCAGCTTGACATGTTGATGTCTTGCTGCCTTAACGCCTGAAGCTCCCTATGTATGCCTGAATTATGCCTGAATTATGCTTTACTGCCTGAGGCTGGAACGGTCTCTCGGAAATTTCGAGAAGCTCCCGGAGCTCCTTCCAGCGGCGGTTTAACTGCTGCAGCTGCCCCGTCCTCTCATCGTTCTTTGACTCTCACTTCACCCCCCACTCACTTCCATCCACTTTCTCTATATCTTTACCCCGGAAGTCCCACAGTAATGGCTGACGCTCTGAAGGCCGAGGGCAACAAAGCCTTCTCTGCAAAGGATTATCCCACTGCCGTGTATGTACACCCCCCTCCCTCCCCGGTTTACCCCGCTTGAAGATGGCCTGGGAGGGATCGCAGTCATGGACCGCGGCTGACTGGCTCTACAGTGAAAAGTTCACCCAGGCTATCGGTATCGAGCCCACGAACCACATTCTCTACTCCAACCGCTCGGCTGTCTACTCTGCGCAATCCGAATACGAGAAGGCTCTTGAGGATGCCAACAAGGCAACGGAAATCAAGGCGGATTGGTCCAAGGGCTGGATCCGCAAGGGTGCCGCTTACCGTGGTCTCGGCGATCTTCGTAAGTCGCGGCATCACTGCGGTAGGACTAAACGTGGTTTGCTAACGGGTCTGCAGTCGCCGCCCACGATGCTTATGAGGAGGCCCTGAAGCTCGAGCCTACCAACGACCAGGCCAAGAACGGCTTCAATGCCGTCAAGAGGGCCATTGATGCCGAAGCCAAGGCTGACGGTGTCACTGGCGACCCTATGGGCGGACTCGGTGGAATTTTCAACGACCCCCAGCTTTTCCAGAAGCTGGCCAGCAACCCCAAGACCTCTCAGCTTTTGGCCGATGCCGACTTCATGGCTAAGCTTCAGCGCATCCAGCAGAACCCCAACAACATTGGCCAGGAGATCCAGGACCCTCGCTTCCTGCAGGTGATGAGTGTTTTGCTGGGTATTGACATGAGCTTCGGCGCTCCTCCCGAGGGTGCCAGCTCTGCTGGTGCCGCGGAGGCCGAAGAGGATGTGCCCATGCCCGATGTCCGCCCCGCAGCTCCCGAGCAGAAGAAGGAGCCTGAACCGGAGCCCCAGCCCGAGCCTGAAGACGAGGAGGCGATTGCGAAGAAGAAGGCACAGGAAGAGGCCGATGCTGAGAAGAAGATCGGTAATGATTTCTACAAGAAGAGACAGTTTGACGAGGCTATCGAGCATTACAACAAGGCGTGGGAGTTGCACAAGGATATTACGTACCTCAACAACCTTGGTGCTGCCAAGTTCGAGAAGGGTGACCTTGAGGGCACCATTGAGACTTGCCAGAAGGCTGTTGAGGAGGGCCGTGAGCTCCGCGCTGACTTCAAGGCTATTGCCAAGTAAGTATTCGTAGAGGTGGTAAATGGGCATAACCAGTGCTAATTCGGTTGTTCCTAGGGCTTTCGCAAGAATCGGTACTGCGTATGAGAAGCAGGGTGACCTTACTCAGGCCATTGAGTTCTATCACAAGGCGCTCACTGAGCACCGCACTCCCGATGTCCTGACCAAGCTGCGCAACGCCGAAAAGGCCAAGGCTAAGGCCGAGAAGGATGCCTACGTCGATCCCGCCGAGGCCGAAAAGGCCCGCGAGCTGGGCCAGAAGAAGTTCCAGGAGGGAGACTGGCCTGGCGCCGTTGATGCCTTCTCCGAGATGGTCAAGCGGGCGCCCCAGGACCCCCGTGGTTTCTCCAACCGTGCTGCAGCTCTCATCAAGCTGATGGCGTTCCCCCAGGCCGTGCAGGACTGCGACGAGGCGACCAAGCGCGACCCCAAGTTCATCCGGGCTTACATGCGCAAGTCTGCGGCCTTGGTGGCCATGAAGGAGTACAACAAGGCCCTGGATGCCTGCACGGAAGCTGCTGAGCACGACGATGGCACACATGCTCGTGAGATTGAGCAGCAGCAGCAGAAGTGCCTGGACGCCCAGTTCAGCGCCCGTGCCGGAGAAACGGAGCAGCAGACGATGGAGAGAATCCAGAACGATCCTGAGGTATGTTGCTGATTCTGCCATCCCGAGATTTGAAGCTTTGCTAACGTCCGTAGATCATGTCCATCCTGCAAGACCCTGTCATGCAGAGCATTCTGCAGCAGGCCAAGAGCGACCCTGCTGCTCTGCAAGAGCACATGAAGAACTCGCAGGTGCGGATGAAGATCCAGAAGCTGATGGCGGCCGGCGTGATCCGTCTGGGACGGTGAAGGGCGAGGATATAAACGAAGCAACATAGTAATGCCATTGAAAAAGCGGTCCTGACGGCACGGCGATTCTATTGATAATTTATTACGGCGGTTATGATGCATGTGTTGAAATGACATCCGAATTGAATTATATTCCTATCAATTCTTTTAATCGTAGAGGAAGATGATGTGCCGATAGATTGTTATCCTGTCTTCAGCTGAAGTGCACCTCAACCCCCGAACTAATTAGGAGCCCAACCGGACAGTCCGAAACCCACCAAGATGATGACCACTTCTATCCGGACTAGATACACAGTAGGGACTACCTATCTAGGTAGTAGTGGGCAAACCGATCCCCGATCCCAGACTAGCAGCAATCCCGAATCCACCCCAAAGGCAGGCCACTAACCTAGCCTAGGTATAACCACGGTGTCTCCATCCTGCTAAGCCTTAGCCTTACCCATTCAACTCCGTACATCCTACAAAGTACCCATCTACACGAAATCCAATTTGCCACAAGGTGACAACGCAAATCTCTATCTACCGTTTACATTCTACACACTAGGTACACAGTAGTCACTACCTAGTCAGTAACCACATGGCTAGCTAGTTTGCTACGGACTAGATCCGAAGCACCCCTGATTTCCTCCCCTCAAACCAAAAGAAAAAAAAAAATTCCAAAATCCATACCTTCAACTCCCCACAACCATAATCCGAATAAATTGATTGTTCATTTGGGGGGGGGGGGGGTTCTGATGACGACGCGTGGAGAAAAAAAAAGACCCAATTTAAGTTATCCTTATGAGGTTAGGCTAGGTTAGGTTTGGTTGGATTGGGTTGGGTTTGGACTGGTTTGGTTCGGTTTGGTTCGGTTTGTGAAGTGGCTGGGTGGTGGGTGGTTTCTTGGAACGAACAGTGGGTATCGGATTCTATACACTGGTTGGTTGGTTGTTCGGTTGACTGAGAACTAAGTCCGAGATTTCGCCTACCACGGAAGGATTGGTTATACTATGTTAGATAGGTAATTGGGGGCTGGGATGAGTAGTAGACAGATAAGTAGATGGGAATAGATAGATACGGAGTAGACATGGATTCTATGGAGTAGGGTTCCTTACAGCCGAGATAGATATCGATCGGGATTTGCTTTGCTTGGATTGCGGCATACATTGCGATATGTGGGAACCACCATACTAGTAGATAGTAGATGTAAGTGTGGTGTGGTGTGGCTGGTAGAAAGGAAGGATTGGTGATGGACAGGGATCGGGGAGGAAGACATGTTATTGGTCATCCCGATCTGTGTGGCTGGTGAGATAGATGGATGGGAACCGATTTACCCGATGTGTGGATTTTGTGGAAGTCATTTCCGTTGTGGTTTTTGTTTGATGTTGTTGTGCTGGTGATGGTGCTGGTGGTGGATTGCCCGAGGGGCTAGGGTTTCGGTCATGGTTGCACGCATCTATCATTGTATTGGTGTCATTGTAGACAGAGTAGGCATGGGATATGGCTCTAAAATGGCGTTTAATGGCGGTGATGAGATTCAAGATTAATATTGCATTGCAGTCCAGCGGACACGGGCTGGGTTGCAGATCAGACAATTCACGTCAAAGTTAAATCACCCGTTTTTGTCCAGACAGAGAAACTGGGCTGATAGATCCAAGCACGGATCCAGAATCGATCAACAGAAGTTGCGTAGGCAGATGTGTTTCATTTTTTTTTTTAGTTCTGTTGTGTTGAAGTGCATAGATAGGAGTGGTCTGCATAGGCAAGTATATTCGCTCCTGGTTGCGTCCTGTTAGCACACAAGTGCGAATGGACACTTCATTGCATGCCACGTGTAACTTGCCACCAAAATCGCCGTTCGTACTACTGTAGTCCCTACTATCTATCTATCTAGGTAGAAGCATTACTCCCTCGCGCTTATTGTTATTATTGCATGGTCGGCCCTTGACAGGCTCAAAGAGGAAGGTTATGCATGCAGTGTCACCCCAGCCCTGGCCTCGCCATCTGTCTTATGATCGGGGCAATGACCACAAAGAAGTAGAATTGTCAGAATGGTACCACCTAAAGCAGGTTAGCCTGGCCTTAGGGCTAGCAACTAAAGTAGTAGTACTTAGATACTGTGTACTTCAGCTATTCGGCTACGGAGTCCTCTGGCCAGAATTGACAAACGGCGAGGGGATCTGACTCGTGGAATTCCGAGGAACTGGAGAGGGCTAGAGGGCTGGAGGGCTGGAAGGCCGGGAGAATGGAGATTAGATTAAATGATATTGCCTGGAATCGCTAGCTGAGTACTGGCTGGACGTGAGCTGGACGGGGCTAAGCCCGCGGAGGGTTAGGGGCACCAGGTTAGTCGGCAGGTATCTATCTAGCGACCGAGTGCCAAAGCCCGAGACGACGGAGGGCACAGGGGAAGTCCGACGCTTCGGAAATGTGAGAGCGAGAGGGCCAGAGAGGATCCGGATCGGTGGCGGTGCAGCTCTCGCCCGATGCCAATAGATCGCAGCCCGGCGCCCGCTAGTCGATCGTGACGGGGATGGTCCGCCGGTGACACGATAACCACGGTCGAGGCGGTTTCGCATGGTGGTGGTGGGTTGGAACTTGGAATCTTGACTCGGGCGTTTAGATAGATCGTGATGTTTGTTTCGGTCCTTGGGAAGACAGTTGATGGTACGTACTAACTACTACTATGTACCTGGATGGGGTGGAGACCAAGAGAGCGAGGAGTTGGTAAATTGCGTCTCCACGAGAATTGGTCGCCTTGGGTTTGATCGGCGTCGTCCCTTTCTCGAAGATCCGGATCTTCTGTGCCTTTTGATGTCATGAGCGCGGTGCTGCACTGGTGGTCATTCGTGTAATGAATGGTGCAGCCGTCACCATCCCTTGTAGTAGATAGTTGCAGGTCATCAATCAATCATGCATTCATTATTCATTATTCATTATTTAATATTCATTATTTCTGGGTAGGGATGAATCTGAAAGGAAAGCCCGTCTGGATCCATCCTTCATGCAAATCTGTGGCGCGCCTGCCATTCATGGGTCCATCAGTTATTTTTATTTTTATTTTTATTTTTCAATGTACGTAGATAGGTACTGTGTAGTTATTCTGCTGGTATCCAAATTCAAAAGGCAAGTGCCTCCTCTCACCAGCCACGATTTGACTCCCTGACGCAAGTGGCTCTGCAGCGCGAAAGTCAATCCGCCCTGATCGATCTTCCGCGTTCTTTTCTGCTCTTTGCTCCCCTGCCTGTTTTCCCCCCATCATCGTTCCTGTTTCCCCTCTCCGTCCCCTTTCTTATTCTCTCCATCTTAGATTAGAGTACTCCCTCCCATCGCCGTCTATCTATAGTTTCACCTCCAGGTAAGCACCTGTCTGTCTTCTGTTCTTCTGTCTTCTGTCTTCTTAATATTCGTACTATCTCTTCATTCCTTTATCTGTCCTTTTATGTATGCTCTGTGCTCTCCCCGGGGAATCTCAGCTCAGCCATCAGCCTTCAATCATCAGCCACCTCCCCTCCCCGCTGCGGAGGTCTTCGCAGTTCCCACGGCAAGGCAACCATCCAGATTCCCAGCACTAGAGCGCCAACAACCCACTCGTTGGCGTGGATGGTCCCCTCCCTCAACTCTTGTTCCTTATCCACATTTTTTCCCCTTCTCACTTTTAGTCTTTTTCTCCGTTCCATCTCACATTCTTTATTTCCCCCCTAATATTCCCTCTCTCTCTCTCTCTCCCTCTCCCCTTCAAAAACAACAAAGGAAGGGAATAAAAGTTCCATTGACCGGACTGTACAGGTTGTACCGGTTGGGGACTTGTAGTAGGTGATTCTTCACCCGAGGCTCGACCCCCCCCCCACAGAGCCATGGCGTCGCAAGACGTAGAGGCCAAGAAGGGCGAATTGAGGCAACAGGGGGCCATTGAGGTAGCCCAGCAGGCTGCCCAGGACCCCCAGTCGAACCTCAACCCTGAAGCTGTCGAGAAGACCCTGGTCGAGGAGACCCGAAAGGCCGGTGTCCCGGCCTATCAATTTGATCCCAATGCATCTCCGGAGGAGAAAGCTGCCGCAGCAAAATCCGTAAGTTTTCTCTCCTCCGAAATTGACTGACTATGTCGCGAGTGCGTCGGTGAACTGATGGAACTCCGTCCCGCATTCTAGCGCCTACCCCCAGGCCTTAACGACTCTAAACCGAAAGGTGTGGCTGTTGTGACCGACAAGGTAAGTCTCATTCCATGAACACCATGATTTAGTCCACTGGTGTCCAAGGAACCATTCTCAAGGATTAATCGGTGTTCTACAGGACGATGGCACCCCGGACCAGTATGATCTGCCCCCTCCGAGATCCGCGACCGATGTCTTGCAGGAAAAGACCGAAGGTGTACCTCAGGTCGAAGAGGACCTGCGATGGGCTCGCGACCGGACCGGATGGGCTCCCCAGTTTGAACACCAGCCGACACAGGAAGAAAAGGACGAAGGGACGCTGTTGGACCACCAGACCTTTTTGGAAGGAAGACTCGACGACAAGTTTTACGGAGGTGAGAGGAACCTGCATAGGCTCCGTGAGTGGCTGCTCGAGGGGAACTGACGCTCTTTCAGATTGGTACCACAATGCTGGTGTCATTGTATTTGCCTGCCTCGCTTCATGGGTTATTGCCATTTTGGGCGGAGGATTAGCCTGGGTGTTTGTTGTCATGGCGGCCTGTAGTACATACTACCGGACCTCCATTCGCCGTGTCCGCCGCAACTTCCGGGACGACGTGAACCGAGAAATGGCTAAGCAACGCCTCGAAACCGACACGGAGAGTTTGGAATGGATCAACAGCTTTCTGGTCAAATTCTGGCCCATCTACGCTCCCGTCCTTTGCGATACGATCATCAACTCGGTCGACCAGGTCCTCAGCACTTCCACCCCTGCAATGATTGACAGCTTGCGTCTGAAGACTTTCGTTCTCGGTTCCAAGCCTCCGCGCTTGGAGCACGTCAAGACGTATCCCAAGACCGAGGTCGACACCGTCATCATGGATTGGA